GTGAGAATGTGGTGCGCGATGGGTCTCGCGCTGAGGTTGGGAACATTTCGAGGCAAAGGTTTCGGAGCGCGGGTTACCAACCGATCCGTTAGGTTGGGTCGCGAGGTGTACAGTGGCGGGGGAAATGGTCGAGGCGAGTGTCGCGAGCGGGTAATGTTTCACTGTTGGGTGCCTTTGGCGGGAACCGTCGTGTACGCGATAAGCAGGGGCACGAAGTAAGGAAAAGGAATTTTTCTTACTGTTGATTATTCCACCACAATGGATGCTCATGCAAGAGAAATTGTGCAACAATGTGTTGGCACTAAATTTCCATTGATATGGGCATTAATGGATAGTCAGAATTTAAAATGAAAATCAACAAGGCCACATTCATTAACACGAAAAAACACCCCAAAAACATTGAACTACCATGGTAAAAAAAAAAATCTGATAAGCAGGATAGCCTATCTACCACGGCAGGAAAAGGGTGACAAGAGTTATAACAAAAAGTCCCACTAACGTTGATGTTACCACAGCGGTAACCGCAGCCTCACAGCTGGAAAACTTCACGCCGTCAACCCCTGAATACTCCTCTCTACCGAACAGCCGCATTCCTCCAGCCTTCCCCATTGCACCTGCGTCTCTCCGCAAATAGCGCTCAGGCCTCCCCTTCAACTCGTTCGACATTACACTAAGGCAGCTAGAGTTTCCACGTTTCAGACCGTTCCCGTTGATTTCGATATATAGAGGCGCCTCGGAGGCGGGGAGAGGCGACGGTTGGTATTGCCCAGACAGTTTTGCCTCCACGTTGTCACAACCCCCATTCGCGATAGCAATTAACGTCTGCTCAGAAGCTTTAGTAGCCGGATCGTTTGCAATCGCGCGGCCGTCTGCGTTAGATTTCGGCGCAGGGAAGTCCACGTGACGGTCAGTCTGAGTTTCTGGGACCACCGTCGCTGGGACCCTCAGCTTAGTCGCAAGCAGCCGCGTTACTCCAACCGCATTTAGGGTTTCTGGGCAGACTGGCCCATAAGGGATGCGCCTTCTAACAGAGCCTAGCGACGCGGCTCGAGGGAGCGGGTCTGATCCCAGATCGGAAACGGCTTTCGGAAATAGCAATGGGGTCCCCGGCGTTTCTTGCGAGTCGGCGGCGGCATTAGACGAGCCGGCCGCGCTCACCGATTCGCTCCAGCTCTTGCGGTGCTTCATCACCGTCAATGTATCACCAGCGACGGGATAATTCCGACACAGTGCTATTGGCTCATGATTTTGCGATGGTCCCGCTCCTGGTCGCGTCTCGTGCTGTAGCGGCGCAAACAGCGGCGGTACACTCATTTCGCCACGCGTTGCCGCCGCATCGCCTTCCGCCGATCGCATTGCCGCGAGCCGGCGGTCGATTTGCGCCATCCGTTCCCGCAGCTGTCGCAAGCTTTCGCGCTGCTGCTGCCTTCGTGGCGACGACATCGCAGACGACGACGACGATTTCGACGACGATACCGTTGCCTCCCATTGGCGGCTTGCGCCCTCGTGGATGGTCGAGAGAGGTAGTAAACTCAAAGACCTGCGGCTGCCGCCAAGTGCGGCGTAGGAGCCGGCGGCGCTTGTCGAGCCATCCATTCCTGGCGAAAGCAAATCGCGACCTAAGAATATCCTCCGTCGCTGGATAATACTGTGTCGAAGATGATCAGAGGTTGATGAAGAGGAAAGATTCCCAGAGTAAACAGTAAGCGGGTCTACTGTTGTCACTTCTGCCGGGACAAAGTCAGAAGATATTGCAAACCCAGGACGATCGGCGCCATTCGTACTCGCCGTTCGGTACCGAATCACCACCGATCGTCCCCTATCGTGATCGCCAATGTCTATGAAGAAGGGTCGACGTGGCTCGATCTAGGCGCTGCCTGAGGCGAGAGGGCATCTTGGCAGGGATTAGGGGAAAGGGGGTTGGGGGGAGAGGGAGGGAGGGGGGGGAAGCGGTCGAGCCGAGGCAGGCTGTTAGCGACGGATGTTCGACGGATCGAGCCGTCGTTTCTGGCGCCACAGGCGGATGCTAGGGCCTACGTCCGTACAGCCGCATTCTACGGCTGTTATTTGTGCCTGCACGGTACTGTACCAAGGCAACACCAAACTGCTGTGCGGTTACTGTACCAAGCCACTCATTGTGGCTGGCAGCAGTGGTGTTTCCAACTGGCAGCTGGGAGTTGACTCGGCTCGGGTTGAAAAATCGGAACCGCCACTGCTGCGCTGTATACAGAGGGCGGCACGTGCGGGGTACTGCACACGCAGTACAGTATTTGATCTGAAGGGTGCTTCGCCGGCGGTAGGTGGCTTAGATCGCGCCATGGTGAGTTACGTAATCTACAGTTTCTCATTCTAAGTTGCTCACTATGCGAAGGGCTCGTTCTGCTGATGTGAAACACTGACGAGGAGTGAAGTGGCGGTGTGAACTGCGCAGGCTGGTGTGTTTGATGGACCTTATGAAGAAACTAGCGCTTGGGAGACGAAGCAAGCTTCTCTCACCAACTTCCCCTTTCGACAGAAAAGCATGGATGCATGTGACGTGTTGTTGTTGTGAACAGGCAGGACGGACAAGGCTGCGAACGTAGAGCCAGCCAGCAGCCGCAGCAGCAGCAGCAGCTTGCAGCGACAAATCTACAACAGGAAGGAGACGTGAACAAGAGAGATCAGTGTGAGAAGGAAGTCAATGGCTGGAAGGCAATCCGCTGAATGCATGGCTCAGCAATTGCGGATGGCGCCAAACAAACCAATGCAGTGTGATTCAACGCAGGCAAAACAAACAGCGAGGGAAACGAAGCAGGTGCTGATGAAGGCCAAGGCAGCGGTGGCTGAAATCGACGGCCTCGATTTCCCGAATCAGGTTGTCCAGTGTCCACAAATCTGACGCAATCTCGCGTCGCATCACAGCACAGCACAAGCCCACGGGACGACAGAATGTTGAATCAGGTGACTCAGAAGTCGGAAACGGTTTGTGCTGGACTTTTCCCGCCAAAACTGACGTTGCCACAACCGCAAACGAGAGGTAGGGAATGAAGCTTGCTGGCAAATATATTGCACTGCGTGCGTCAGCACGCAGTGCAATGAGTCAGGCAAGGAAAAAAATAAAACCCACTCGGAAGGCATGCCATTCGGGAGGCATCAACCCTAAAATTTTAGGGTTGAGGCTCCCGAATGGCATGGAGTCCGAATGGGTTTTAGTTTTTTTCCTGCCCGCGGTCAGCATGCTGACTCACTCGGTAGCGTCGTCTAGCGAAACGGTAGCGCTACCGAGCGCTACCGACGCTACCAAGTGTAATATATTTTACGTTTTTTTACAAGTCAAGAAGCGATGACGTATTATTTCTGCTACTACAAGGAAGAAAGACCACTCCCTTAGTCCACCTATTCTTTCCATGCCTCAATTTTGCAACAATGCAACTACAAACCTACAACTAAATGCGATAGATATGTACAGCAGCTCGTTCATGAAATGGCACCCCATCCTCTTTGCCTCCAAGCCCCCCCTTGATAATCACCTCTGCGAATGTTCCTCCTCCGGATCCCTTTGCAAGATGCCCGGGATTAACGCACACAGGCTGAAACACTGCACTATTTTTTTTTTGCTTCAGGCGCCGCTGCTTGTGCCGCTGTTGCTAGTGAAGCTGCTCCTGGCATAGCTGTGTGCGCTTCAGCTTGCGTTGTCACTGATGGAGGCGTAGCTGCTTCCTGCTGCTGCTGCTGCTGCTGCTGCTGCTGGTGCGGCTGTGGTACAGCAGGTTGGTGTATAGGTGGTTGCATAGGCAAAACCTGAGCAAGATACCAACAACAGCGCACACATACACACACACACACGCACGCACGGACGCACGCACGCACGCACGCACGCACGCACGCACGCACGCACGCACGCACGCACGCACGCACCACGCACGCACGCACGCACGCACGCACGCACGCACGCACGCACGCACGCACGCACCACGCACGCACGCACGCACGCACGCACGCACGCACGCACGCACGCACGCACACACACACACACACACACACACACACACACACACAGACATGGAAGAAAACACGATTAGCTACACTACACAATTATCAACTTTTGGAAATGCCTTCAAAATCATGGACAGAAACACAATTGGTTACACAATGCATGTATACTTTCAAAAGGAAGAAGCAACAGGGTCCCCATGGGGCAGGGACTAGGTTCTTATACGACAGGCGGACAAGTCGCTTTTGAATGAAGAAGTGTTTTGAGACGTCTCAAAGGAAGAAGCAACAGGGTCCCCATGGAGCTTATGGACTAGGTTCTTGTACGACAGGCGGACAAGTCGCTTTTGAGCTTGCTTAAAAAAAAAAAAAAAAAAACCTGCAGAGTGTTACTGAAAATTCTAGAATAATAACCAAAAGTTTTATTTTATAATACTCACCAACACCCATGACAGGCGGACAAGTGACTTTTGAGGCGGCTCAAAAGTCACCTTGGGAAGGAGCAACGGAGGCGCAATAGAGCAGGAACCATCCCAATTCTCATATGACAGGCGCAAAAAAAAGGTTCCTCCTAGGTTCGTTCACCCAAAAGTCCTCCCGCCCCCTCCAACCCCCCCCCCCCCCCCCAAAAAAAAAAGAAAAATAAAAAAAGGAGTGGGAGGGGGAGAGGGGGGATGAAGAAGAAGAGAGTGAAAAGTGAAGAAAGTGGGAGAGGGCGAAGGGGGTACGCCTTAACAACGCGGACGAGGTCGGATGGGGGGAAGAGGAAGAGGTGAAGGGCAACAGGGAGGTGTAGAGCTTGGAGGCAGAAGGAGAGATGTGGCAGGGACGAGGGGGGGTGTTGGGGAGGGAAGAGGCCTCACCTTGACAAAAGGGACGACGTCGGATGGGAGGAAGAGGAGGTGAGGGGCAAACGGGAGGTGCAGGGCTTGGGGGCAGCAGAAGAGATTAAGAAAGGGGGCAAGATGAGTGGGATTTTTTGGGCTGAGAAGACGGCAGGATGTGGGTTTTGAAGTAAGACGGCTCACCTTGACAAAAGGGACGAGGTCGGATGGGAGGAAGAGGAGGTGAGGAGCAAAGAGGAGGTCCAGAGCTTGGGGGCAGCAGGAGAGGTCGAGACAGGTGGTGGGTGGGGGAGGGAAGAGCGGGTAGAAGCTCCTCTGGCCAATCACGTGCGCTGCCAGCCTGGACATGCGGTCTGACGTGGCGCTGTCTCCTGGCGCCACGCGGGCAATCTCCTCCTTGCTGAGGTGGCGGAGAATGTCGGTGGAAGAGCAGGCGATGCCAATCTGGCAGGGGGGAAGAGAAGGGGAGGGAGGGGGAAATTGGAAACAAGATTGAGTGGAGGGAGAAGACATTTGGAATAGGGATGACGTGTGCGCAAGAGCAGGCGATGCCAACCTGGCAATGCGAGGCAGGGGGAAGGGTTGGGGGGGAGGAGGGGGGGATGGGAAGAACAGGTAAGGAAGAGCGGCGGGACGGGGCAGTGCGGCAAGTGCAGGGGGGCAAGGGCAGAGGGGAAAGTGCAGAGGGACAAGGGCGATCTCCTCCTTGCTGAGGTGGCGGAGGATGTCGGTTGAAGAGCAGGCGATGCCAGCCTGGCAGGGGGGAAGAACAGGTGGGGAAGAGGGGGGTTGGGCAAGGGCAGAGGGGCAAGAGCAGGTGGGAGGGTCGCGGATGATCTCCTCCTTGCTGAGGTGGCGGAGGATGTCGGTGGACGAGCAGGCGATGCCAACCTGGCAGGGAAGGGCATTGTGCGGGAGGGGGAAGGGTGTGGGGGAAGGGCAGGGGAGGAGAGAGGGGGGAGGGAGGGGGGAAGGGAGAGGGGGGAGCAGTGGTGAAGTGGAGAGAAGAGTGAGGGGAGGTAGAAGACAACTGCAGTCCAGTCCAGCATTGAGGTGCCTCAAAAACAATGTAGACCGATCAGATCAGAGTTATGAGTGAGCAATATAGCAATATAGCAATGCCTCCTACCTGGTTATCCAGAGAGAACGCGGAGAGATTTCCAAGTGAGAGGACGTGCTTTTGTGGTTCTGGTTTTGAGACGTCCCAAAACTAGATTTCCAAGTGAGAGGACGTGCTTTTGTGGTTCTGGTTTTGAGACGTCCCAAAACTAGATTTCCAAGTGAGAGGACGTGCTTTTGTGGTTCTGGTTTTGAGACGTCCCAAAACTAGATTTCCAAGTGAGAGGACGTGCTTTTGTGGTTCTGGTTTTGAGACGTCCCAAAACTAGATTTCCAAGTGAGAGGACGTGCTTTTGTGGTTCTGGTTTTGAGACGTCTCAAAACTAGATTTCCAAGTGAGAGGACGTGCTTTTGTGGTTCTGCGGATTCAAAGTCGGCTCTGAAGCAAGTGTGAGGACTTGCTTTCGTGGTTTTCGACTTTTGAGACGTCTCAAAAGTGAGGACTTGCTTTCGTGGTTTTCGGGCATATTTTAGAATTCTCAAAAACCTCACAACACAGCTACGCTTACCTGGCTATCGAGTGTGAAGGCGGAGGGGTTTCCAAGCATCAGGACTTGCTTTCGCGGGTCTTCAAAGTCAGACGAGTCAAATGGGGGCTGCTCACATGCAGAGCGGGAAAAAGTGGAAGAGGTGTTTTAAACAGATGTATTCAGAGGAAATCAGAGAGATTAAGAGGGATCCAGAGGGATCCAGAGGGATTCCCAAGGGTCATAATGCACTTTCGCAGGTATCAGAGTATGACGATCAAAGGGAGGCTGCCCACCCACATGCAGAGAGGGAGAAAGTGGAAGAGGTGTTTCAACCAAAGGGATTAAGTGAGAGGGGTTCAGAGCATTCAGGGGCATCAGTATTTGCTTTCGTGGGTCTTCAAAGTCAGACAAGTAAAACGGAGGCTGCTTAAATGCACACAGAGAGAGGGAGGAAGAGGAAGGGGAGTTCCAAATGGAGAGATTGAGAGAGATTCAAAGGGATTCAGAAGGACTGCGAGGGATTTCCAACGGTCACAATGTGCCTTTGTGGGTCTTCAAAGTCAGACAAGTCAATCGGAGGCTGCTCACATGCAGGGAGGGAGAAGAAATTGAAAGGGACGCCAGCACGAGCAGAGAGTGAGAAAGAGGCACAGGGGTTTAAAGGGATTCAGTCAGAGTCAGATGGGTCAAACGGAGGGTGGCACGGGCGTGGGATGAGACTACCTGGGAATACTTATTAGGTGCCTGTACTTGCTTGCGAGCAGAGTTTATTCATAGAAAGCAAAGCCGTCCGAACAATTTTTTTGGCACCACATATGCGGCGCATGCCTCATGGGCCGTGCTTTATATATGCCCATTGTTTGGCTCTTCACTTGGAAGAGAATATTCACAATATGCCCGTGTCTCACATGCCCCATGCCTCGTATGCCCATACATCACATGCACCATGCCTGATATGCCCGCCCCTCATATGCCCCAGGAATCATGTTACAGAAGGGAGGAAGGAAATAATAGTAGGAGAAGCGTGACCAGAAAGCAACAGGCACCTGTGAGGCACCTGAAAGGGCACCTGAGAGGGAACCTAGCATGGGTGAGTGGGGGATGCACCTGAAGAGGCACCTGAGGAGGCACCTGAGACCGTACCTGAGGAAAGATCATGGTGTGGTGTGCGTCTCTCAGTGACGGCAACAGCAGCACCTTGCTCGTGCCTCCTGCCCGCTCACAATAGTCCTCCACCTGTGGGAAGGTGGGGGAGGGGGGCAGATAGAAAAGCCGGGATTTAGGGCACCTTAGCTTGGTGTGCGCAGCAGCAGCACCTTGTACGCCTGCGCGCTCACAATAGTCCTCCACCTGAGAGGGAGGGGGATAGAGAAACCGGGAGCAGAGGGGCAAGGGGTGGGGGAGGGTGTGGGGGTGCTATCATCGGGGAAAGGGCAGATGTGTGCAGATGTGCTTTTGAAAGAGCGCAACTGCTCTTGGGAAGAGAATTGTGTTGACCTGGCGCTCTATCAGGCGCAACTGATTTAAAAAAAGAGTGCCTGCCCAACATAATTCCCTGAAACCCTTCCATGAGCGCCTGCCAATACAATCCCTTTTCTCCCTTCTCTCCGCAACTCCACGTTCCACCCCTCCCCCGCCCCCACACACCTGTGTACGGATGTGCTGCTGAAAGAGCGCCTCGTAAGTCTGGTCAATGCAGCTGTCCTCTTTACCCCCTGATCTTTTCCTCCGCTCCTTTCTCTTTCTCTTTGCCCTCTCCCCCATCTCACCTGTGCCCGGATGTGCTGCTGAAAGAGCGCCTCATACGTCTGCTCCACACATCCATCTCTTGCATCAGGATGCTCTCGATCAATGAAGGGGCCGATCTGACCAGAGAAGGGTGCGGAGGAGGAGGTGGGAGGAGGAGGGACGGGTGCGGGGTAAGAGTTAGAGAAAGGGAACCCACAGTGAGTATACAAAAGAGCGCCTCCTATGTCTTGACTTTTGAGGCGCCTCAAAAGTCGCCTCAAGAGGCGCCTCAAAAGTTGCCTCATATGTCTGATCCTCACAGCCGTCCCTCGCATCAGGACGCTCTCGATCGATGAAGGGGCCCATCTGATCAAGCGAAGGAGCATAGAAAGGGTGGGGGTGCGGGAAGGGGGGGTGTATATGGGGGTGCGGGAAGGGGGGGTGTATATGGGGGTGGGGGAAGGGGGGGGGGTGTATATGGGGGTGGGGGAAAGGGGGGGTGTATATGGGGGTGGGGGAAGGGGGGGGGGTGTATATGGGGGTGGGGGAAAGGGGGGGTGTATATGGGGGTGGGGGAAAGGGGGGGTGTAAATGGGGGTGGGGAAAAGGGGGGGTGTATATGGGGGTGGGGGAAAGGGGGGGTGTATATGGCAATAGATACGTATGGGCAGTCAACTAGTCTACTAGGTGCAGGTTTTCGGGCCTTCATTTGACACACCACCATACCAGCAGCAGCACATCCGGTGGTCGCTGCAGCGCAAATCTGATGAGGTCCTTGAGCGGCTCAAACGACCATGAGTCAATAGTGGTGAAAGGACCTGCTGCCGCGATCTGATCACACAAGAAGAAGAAAAATAAAAATCAAAAGCAAAAAGAAAAGAAACGAAAAGAAGAAAAAAACAGGGAGAAATAAATTATGGCGGGCTACGGACCAGGAAACATGATATCAAAACACATAGAATGTGGTGAATGGCGAAAACCATGGAAAGGCCATGGAAAGGTGAAAACCATGGAAAGGCGAAAACCATGGAAAGGCGAAAACCATGGAAAGGTTTTCTACACCATGGAAACATGTTTCTACACCATGGAAACATGGTTCTACACCATGGAAACATGGAAACATGGTTCTACACCATGGAAACATGGTTCTACACCATGGAAACATGGAAACATGGTTGTACACCATGGAAACATGGTTCTACGCGATGCGGCTGCTGCAGCAAAGGGAGGTCGAAGGAGTCCTTGATTGCTCACTATTCCCTTTCGAGAAGCAACGGCAACGGGAGGAAGAGCAAGACAAAAAAGCCGTAAGTAGTGAATCAGGTGAGGAGCATAGGACACATGAGGGAGCAGCGCCAGAGAACTCACGATCCTGATCTCATCATCGTCCTCTTCCTCTTCCTCATTACCCTCGGCCTTTACACCAGCAGCACCGCTCTCCACCGCCCTGACTCCTTCTGTATCCATCCCCTCAGTCCCAGCCTCCACCCTCTCTTGCAACTCAGCAGCACCACCGTCAGAAGCCACAGTACCACCACCAGCAGCATCACCACCCACCTTCTCCTCTGTCCCCTTCTCCACTCCACCCTCCCCATCCTTATCACCACCGTCACCAGCAATAGCACCAGCATCACCGCCAGAACCAGCCTCAGCATCAGCAGTATTCTTATCAGCATCACCCTCAACCTTAACCTCCTTCTTCTCCTCTTCCCCCACCTCCCCCTTCACCTTCCCACCCCCCACCTCCTCCCCTCCGTCAACCTTACTATCTCCCCCACCATCGCAGCTCACCTCACCCTCATCCCCCCCATCGTTATTCCGCATCTCCTCTATCTCATCAAGTGCTATCACATCCTCTAGCCCGAACGGAAGCAGATTTTCCTTCTTTCGTCCATCCCCCTTCTCCCTCCCCTTCCCTTCCCCTTCCGCCTTGCCTGCCGTGCCTCCCTCTCCATTCCCTGCCTTCTCTCCCTCCTTCTCTCCACTCCCTTCCTCTCCCCCTTTCACTCCCCCCTCATCCCCTCTCCCTTCCGCCTCCCTTCTTCCTTTCCTCCTCCTCCCCGCCCCTTCCGTCTTAGCTCGCTTCGGCCGGCGCCGAGCCTGCGCTCCCGAGCCTGTCAGGCTCGGCACGGGCTGGTACGGCAGGGCAGCAACAATACGTTTGGCAACGAGGCAGTAGCCGCTGGGATTGCTGCCTTCAACGGCCAGGATCTGCCCTGGGAAGAGCGAGAAGGACGGCAGATGGCGCAGATCAAGCCGTACCCTGACCCCCTGGCAAGGGTCGATGCTGTGGGATAGGTGGAGTTGTGGGGGATGGGAACGGGGAAAATAAAGAACTTAGTGACTTTCTTGCTACGTTCAACGGGCCCTGGGAAGAGCGAGAAGGATGGCAGATGGCGCAGCTCGAGGCGCACCCTAACCCGCTGACAGGGGTCGATGCTGTGGGGTGGGGTGGGGTAGGATGGTGGGAGAGCAGGAGCCGGAGTGTGTGAGTTGCTCTCTTTCGATTCAACGGGCCCTGGGAAGAGCGAGAAGGATGGCAGATGGCGCAGATCCAGGCGCACCCTTACACCCTGACAGGGTTCGATGCTGTGGGGTGGGGTGGTGGTGGGGAGAAAACAATGGAACCAAGGAAAGGGAAAGAGGGAAAAGAAGGTGGGGGGTAGGGAAGAATGGGAAAGGGGGAAAGGGGAAAGCAGGATTGGGAGTGTGTGAGTTGCTGCCTTCAGCGGCCAGGATTTGCCCTGGGAAGAGCGAGAAGGAGGGGAGATGGCACAAATCTAATCGCACTGGAACCCCCTGACAGGGATCGATGCTGTGGAATGGGTGGAGTTGTGGGGGACGGGAACGGGGAAAAGGCATGATTTGGTGACTTTCTTGCTGCGTTCAACGGGCCCTGGGAAGAGCGAGAGGGATGGCAGATGGCGCAAATTGAGCCGCGCTCTCATGGCCTGACAAGGGTCGATGCTGTGGGGTGGGGTGGTGGGGACAGGATAGGGGAAAGCGAAAAGGGGCTGAAGGAGGGGGAAATGGGAAAAAAAAGGATTGGTGAGTTCAACGGCCAGGATCTGCCCTGGGAAGAGCGAGAGGGACGGCAGATGGGGCAGATCGAGCCACACCCTCACGCCCTGACAAGGGTCGATGCTGTGGGGTGGGGTGGGGGGGGGAATGAGGGAACGGAGGAATGGAAAAAGGGGACATGGGAAGGAGGATAGGAAAAAAAGGGGAACGTGACGGTATGATCGGGAAATTGAGTTGCAATCTCATGCCTTGGCAGGGGTTGATGCTGCATGACGAGCAAGTTGGCGAGGCACTCTCACGCCCTGGCAGAACAAAAGGAATCAAAACGTAAGTGCCGCTTCGCATTAGTACCCGCAACTAACATCCTTCCAGGAGAACTGAGGGCAGGGCCCCTCTATGCGCATGCATGCACCGATGCTGAGTCTGCATCTCGAAATGCAGACTGAATGCGGACAAGGCAGATTCAGGCGAGTTGCAGATGCAGATGCAGATGCAGATGCAGATGCAGATGCAGATTCAGATGCAGATGCAGATGCAGATGCAGATGCAGATTCAGATTCACCACAAGGCGAGTTGATCAGCACAGCTTCCCTCCGCTACGAGCGCTTATCATCCTTCCAATTGCACAACCCACCCCCTTTCTCCCCACCCCCCCCCTCCTTACACGCACCTACCATCCTTTCAGGAGCACTGGTAACTCGTTGAGGCGTGCCGATGCTGCCTCTGCACTAGGCGCTTCAACCAACACAGCTCCCCTCCACCCCCTTGCGAGCACACCCCCCCTCCTCCTTACAAGCACCTACCATCCTTCCAGGAGCACTGAAGACTCGTTGAGGCGTGCCGATGCTGCCTCTGCAAGAGGTGCTTCAACCAACAAAGCTCCCCTCCACCACCTTGCGAGCACAACCCCCTTCCTCCTTACAAGCACCTACCATCCTTCCAGGAGCACTGAAGACTCGTTGAGGCGTGCCGATGCTGCCTCTGCAAGAGGCGCTTCAACCAACAAAGCTCCCCTCCACCACCTTGCGAGCACAACCCCCTTCCTCCTTACAAGCACCTACCATCCTTCCAGGAGCACTGAGGACTCGTTGAGGCGTGCCGATGCTGCCTCTGCAAGAGGCGCTTCAACCAACAAAGCTCCCCTCCACCACCTTGCGAGCACACTCCCCCTCCTCCTTACAAGCACACTTACCATCCTTCCAGAAGCACTGACGAATCATTGAGGCAAGCCGATGCTGCCTCTGGACAATCGCTCCAACCAGCACAGCTCTGGCCCCCCTTACAAGCACACTTACCATCCTTCCAGAAGCACTAAGGAATCGTTGAGGCGTGCTGATGCTGCCTCTGCATCGCATTAAACAGGGTTCTTCAACTAGCACAGCTTACCCTCGCCATTACAAGCACCCATGTAAGTGTCAGTTCAGCAGCACTCACCATCCTTCCAGGAGCACTGAGGAGTCGTTGAGGCGCGCCGATGCCGCCTCTGCGTCGCACACGACACGACCCACGGCCATCACACTGGTCTGGAGGGGGGGGTGAGGTGGGGGATGAGGTTGAGAGAGGAGGAGGGGAGGGGGATGAGGTAGGGTCAGGTGGTACGTTGAAACAATCTCACATGATACAAACCCAACAATCTCACCAAATATGATTGCACCTGAGAGGCCATGAGGGTTTGCTTCGCGGGGTCAAATGTCGGATCCGCCCGTGCAAGTGCCGCTATGAACCGTTGATTTCGCCGCTCCAGCTCATTGGCCTGCGACAGCCGCATGTGTTGAACCACGACAAATTCACACATCAATTTCTTCGCAATAATAAGCAAAATCAATTTCTTCCCCCAATATTTCATAATTTGTTAATCCCTTCACGTTGCAATCTAGAAACCGAAGCGACTACAGCTAAGAACGATTCGTGTCTGTGAACTTGAAGGATCGAAACGTACTCTGTCCTCCGTACGGTCGCACATGTATCGAGCGTTGCGCGGAACCTCTGCGCTCGCTACAGTCACATCGCAGAGTCTAATTGGCGCTGGTAAATCCGCTTCATCGTGACCGTCCGTGGCTTTCCACGGCGGAGCCAATCGGGGATTCCACGACGTGACGGTCGTCAGGCTGTTGCCTCGTGCCTTATATTGCATCGCTGACATTACACCAGGAATGTAAGCAGCTACTTCAGAACCAGTCAATGTTGGACAATAGGCTAGTGGTTTCTAAAAAAGGCTGATAGTGACACGGATTGTTACAAGTCGGGAGATTGAACGGTGATTAAGATTGTTTCTCGCGGCAAAAGAAATCACTTGACCAAATCGACCACAGAGATAACGCGATTCGAGCGCTATGAGTTGCTTGAAGATGAAGATCGTCAGGAGTCCGAAGAAGCTGAGGGAATGACGGACCGCCCTGGTTTCGGGTTTCCGATTCCTTTCGGCAGTGGTTTTGACACCGCCTTGCTTCACGCTCGCGTCCGATACCTTCGGTCAGTTATTTACGCTATTGCTCCTTTTCGAGTCCAGAGACTAATTTTGTGTTTTATTTATTGGGATATCATAGATTGAATTGTCGCGTCAATTACGATAAACTCGGGACAAAAAATATATACCCCTCATGGAGGGCATGCCATTTGGGAGGCATCAACCCTAAACACCACGAGGCAAGGTGTTTAGGGTTGATGCCTCCCAAATGGCCAGCCATCCGAGAGGGGTTTATTTTTTCCACTGGCCACTAAACTAAAACCAGGTAAACTTCAGAATTTTCCTGGTCACAGGAAATTGGAAATGTCGAAATCAGCTTCCCCAAGGAATCGGACGCGAGCGGAGAAGCGAGGCGGTGTCAAAGCCACTTCACAAAGGAATCGGAAACTTGAAAACAGGGCGATCCGTCATTTCCTCGAAGAAGCTTCTTGTGCTGGTGGCAGCGGCTAGTTGTCGCTTCTTCGCCGATCGCCATTCGAGCTTTCATTGCAGCAGATCCATTCTAGGATCCGATTTTCTATGAGCAAATTGTCTTTCAGATCCCCAACATACAGTTGATTGTGCCTGCTTACGATCCTTGATGTATTTAAGTAAATAATTTCACCTCCATCAATGGGCTACCAAGTGTCAGAATATGTTATATTTGTCTAGCCTGCAGTGGGGTACTCAATAGTGAGTACAGCCCAATTTAGGGTTTCCTATATGTACTCAACTGCCTGCTAGTGCAAACCCCTCTCTTTCTCATTTCTAACTTTCTACTGCTGTTCTTAACATGGTATCAGAGCAGGTCGACCCTCACGGGTCGATCCTGTGCATGGGCCCACCATTGTCTTCCGCTGCTATACTGCCTATCGCGCGCCTCGGGCGCGCACTGTCTTTCTGTCTGCCGCGCGCCCATGGCGCGCGGCCTTTTTTCTTCCCGCCGCGCGCTCGAGTCGCGCGGCGGTTTTCTGCTCGTCGCGCCGCCCTGGGGGCAGCGCGACGCGGCGACGCCCTGATTTGCCCGTCGTGCGCCCCGTGGCGCGCGACGGTGCCCTGCCTGTCGCGCGCCTCGGGGCGCACGGCGGTTTCGTCGCCCGGGGGGGCTCGTGCGCGCCCCCCCCCCTTCGTCGCCCGTCGCAGCGCCAACGGGGGCCCGCGCGCCCCCCCCTTCGTCGCCCGTCGCGGCGCCAACGGGGGCCCGCGCGGCCCCAATTCCCGTCGCCCGTCGCGGCGCCCTGGGGGGGGGGCGCAGAAGGGGGCCACGCGTCGGCCCCTCCCGTCTTCGTCGCGGCCCTGCCCGGCCCTGCGTTGCCCGGCCCTGCCGTCCGTCCCCGATCCTGCCCCGGCCCTGTACCGGCCCTGCCCCCCCCCCCCCCCCCCCCCCCCCCCCTCCCCCGTAACCTCCATCTCCGGCCCTGCCCTGTGTTAGGGTTTGGGGGTGGCGAGTGGGGGGTGGCGGGTGTGTGGCATCACCTGCTCCTCCTCCTCCTTCGTCTCCCACTGCTGCAGCTGCCGCTGAGGGGGGTGGGTGTGTGGGAGTCGACAGAGTGGTGCTAGGGGGTGGAGTGTGAGTGAACCTAGGGGTGCAGCAGGGGGTGTGTGAAAGGGGGGTGGGACAGTTTGGGGAGGTTGAAGAGGGGTGGCCGCCGTGAAGCTAGCAGCTCCAGTCGCCCGTGAGACCGTTGCGCCAGTCGCCCGTGAGCCCGTTGCTCCAGTTGCCCGTGAGCCCGTTGCTCTAGTCGCCCGTGGGTCTGTTGCTCCTGCCGCTCAGAGTTAGCCGCGGAGCCAGTTACTCCAGTAGCCCGTGTGCCAGTTGCTCCAGTTGCCAGTGTGCCAGTTGCTCCAGTTGCCCGTGTGCCAGTTGCTCCAGTTGCGCCGTGTGCCAGCAGCTTCAGCTGCCGCCCACTACCTCCTCTCCTCTCATAGTCCCTTCTCTTCCACACTTGCCCTCTGTGATAGCTTCTAGCTTTACTTATTGCTGTGAACTATAAACTGTTGTTTCTTGTACTATTGCTCAGAATGTGTGGTGACATTGTGATCCACCCTGAGCCTGTGTTTGCTTTGCTTTGCTTGCTGTGCTGATTACACCCCACTTTGGCTATGGGGGTGTGTGAGAATATGTTATATTTGTCTAGCCTGCAGTGGGGTACTCAATAGTGAGTACAGCCCAATTTAGGGTTTCCTATATGTACTCAACTGCCTGCTAGTGCAAACCCGTCTCTTTCTCATTTCTAACTTTCTACTGCTGTTCTTAACACCAAGTAGGTCTTTGAAGGTGTAAGTCAAGCTTCAACAAGTTGGCCAAGATTCAAAACTAACTTACAAACAAGCCATCACAAACATCATACGCAATCCTCAACTTCCAAACTCATCCAAAACATAGTTCTATGGAACTATTGGATGCCTTCAAGGTCGTGTGGTGCATACACATCACTCACATCCATGTCTACTCTATACACAGTACAAGTACCCAACCACGAGATCAGAGTAATGCACCCTATGACTGGTATGCCAAAATGAAATGCTTTCAGGTCCTCCACTCTACTCCTCGCCCATCGATGCATAAACTTTCCCCACTCCATGCAGCTCAATGTTGCCTTCACCATCGCACAACTTGTCACACCCTTCCGCGTTGAAGAAAATGATGGACTGAAGGTCCGTTATGTCCTCTGGAAAAGCATCCAGCTGCTTGCAATTCTGCAGGTCAAGGTTCTTGAGCCTGGAGAGCCTTGAGAAGCTGGGTGGCAGCAAGCGGATGCCACTCTTACTTGCCTTCATAGAAAAGAGGCAAGAAAGCTGGGTGAGAGACGAGGGAAGAGATGTGAGAGATGAGCATTCCGACACATCTTGTTTCCTCAACCTAGATAACGCCCCGATCTGTTCAGGAAGGCAGGCCAGCTTCTGAGCACGAACGCATAAGCTTGTCAGCGTTTGTAACTCGGTAATGGACTATGGAAGCTCTGTCAACTCGCCAGCACGAAGTATGATGAGCGCTCGCAGGCGCTGCAAGGCGGAGCCAATGTCATCAGGAAGCTTCTTCATGCCTCCAGCATCCAGGATTGTCAAGCTGCGGAGGTTAGACACCAAATCCAAGGGAAAGGGTAACGAAGTCGAAACTTTTGCCATTGCAAGCTCCAACTCTTTCAGGTTCGAGAGGCTTATGGTTACGACCGGCCCATCTGCAACACCAACGATGGCAAAGCTCAGCCTTTTCAGCTTCAGCAGCATGGAGACGTCTGGCAGATGGATGGGCTGCCTCTCTTTCCGTAAGCTCAAGGCCTTGAGCGAGCTCGGCAAACTTACAGGAGCTTCCGTCAGCTGGTTCGACCCCTTCAACTCCAACTCCTTCAACCTGGTGAGCCTGTCCAGACCCTTGGAAACCGAAATATGGCTGCAATAGTCACAAATGCTTAAAACTTCAAGCCTCGTGCACAAAGAGATCAACTCTGGGACCTCCCTGAGGTTTGAGCAGGAGTGGATGTAGAGTTCTTGCAGTCTGGTTAAGTTGCCAATGTCCTCTGGAAGCTCTAATCGCGCGCACGAGACCAATTCCAGCCTTGTCAGGGCTGATAGCTGGGAGAATGAAGGAGGTAGAACCTTCGGCTTCATGTGATTGGTGTGGAGAAAAAAAAGTTTGAAGATTGTTCAGCCCTCCAATTTCCTCTGGAAGAATCAGATCCGGCATGCTCATGAAGCACAACGACTTGAGGCCTGTGAGCAGAGCGAAACGGCTTGGCAACTCGCGTAACTTTTGACAGCCGTTCAAAATCAAGGTTTCCAGGGAGGTGAGCTGATAAAATGTGGCAGGGAGAGTTGGGAGTGGCAGAGATTCCAGCTCGAACGTTTTCAACACAGGCAGCTTGCCAAAGTTTCTAGGCAGGAGCAGGGTGTTTCTAAGCAGGAGCACGGGGCATGCAAGAACTTTTAAGCTGTGCAAACAGCTGAGGCTGGTAAACTGCTATGGAAGGGGAGAACGGAAAGTGCAACATGTGACACTCAGTTTCTGTAGGGATGGCAGTGACTCCCCGATTGTGTCTGGAAGATGCAAGGAGCTGCAAAAGGCCAAGACGAGCCGTTTCAGGCGGATGCAGTGAGATCCTGTAGGAAACATTGAGTTGAAAGCTACACCACAATTACCAACCCTAAGCGTCTCAAGAGATTGCAGCTACGTGAAGGAGTTGGGATCAGTAGGCAAATTCGATACAAAGCAGCCAAAAGTAGGGAGGGAGAGGCTGGTGAGGTTGGTGAGGCGAGCAAGGCTCGAAAGCTGCACCAAGTCCACAAAAAGGAGCTAAAATTCGATAAGACGCAAGAGAAAATAAACCCGTCAGCTCTGGAAATTTTAG